GGGAAGGACCCACCTCCTGGCTTGTAGATGGCCATCTTCTCTTGTATCCTCAGAGAACAGAAAGAGCTCTGATCCCTTCATCCCCTTCAAGGGCACTAATACCTCCCAAAGGCCTTACCTCCTAATATCATCACAATAGGGGTTGGGATTTCAACATATGAATTTAGGGGGGACACATTCAGTCCATAACTGAACAACAATCCTACAACTCAACAACAATAAAAAACTAAACCATCAGATTTAAAAATTGGCAAAGGACTTGAACAGACATTTCTCCAAAAAAGATGTACAAATAGCCAGTAAACACATGAAAAGATGCTCAACGTCACTAATCATTAGGGAAATACAAATCGAAACCACAATGAGATACCATTTTACACCTAGCAGGATGGCTACCGTCAAAAAAACATAATAACAAGTGTTGGCAAGGATGTCGAAAAATTGGAACCTTTGTGCACTGTTGATGGGAATGAAAATGGTGCAGCCATTATGGAAAACAGTATGGCTGTTCCTCAAAAAATTAAAAATAAAATTACCATATAATCCAGCAATTCCACTTTTGGGTATATGCCCAAAAGAATTGAAATCAAGGTCTCAAAAAATTATCAGTTTACCTATGTTTATAGCAGCATTTTCACAATGGCCCAAAGGTGGAAGCAACTCAAGTGCCCATCGATGGATGAATGGATAAACAAAATGTGGTCCATCCATACAATGGAATGTTATTCAGCCTTAAAAAGAAAGGAAATTCTGACACATGCTACAACATAGAGGGACCTGAGGGTATTATGCTAAGTGAAATAAGCCAGTCACAAGAAGACAAATACTCTATGATTCTACTAATATGAGGTCCCTAAAGTAATCAAATTCATAGAGACAGAAAGTAGAATGGTGGTTGCCAGGGGCTGGGAAGAGGGAGGAATGGGGAGATGTTGTTTAATGGGTGCAGAGTTTCAGTTTTGCAAGATGAAAAAGTTCTAGAAATGGATGGTGGTGATGGTTGCACAACAATGTGGTTGTACTTAACACAACTGAACTGTACACTTAAAAGTGATTAAAATGGGAAATTTTGTTATGTATATTTTACCACAATTTAAAAAAAATCATTCAAAACTTTCTTTTAGATGGTTAAATATTCAAAACTCCAATGGAAAATGTAAAGGTCCTAGAAAGCAAAAACAGATCCTTCTAAGAAGTGATCAGGCACACTTATGCCAGAAGACAGTGGAGTGGTACCGTCAGTGTTCTAAGGGAAAATGATTTTGAACCTTGAGTGATAGACTCGGTCAAGTTATTAATCAAATGAGGGCAAAGTGACAACATTTGAGGACGTGAGAAATAAAAATCTTTTCCAAACAAATTTACTTGAGAACAAATAAATATGGAAAATACTCCATCAAACTGAAAAAATATCCAAGAGAAAGGAAAGAATGGGACCTAAGACATGTAGTTTTGCTTTAATCAGTAATGTTATAACAATACAGAAAGTAGTAAAGAGAGGGTGCCAGATGACAGCAGTGGAGCAAGCCTAGAAAGTAACCAGATTAGATCAGAATGTCAGAGAACTCCGGAATTGATGAAGAAAAAAAAAAAAAAAAACTCCCCGTGACAGCTATCATCATTAAGGAAATGGGTATATACCAGGAAGAAAAAAGAAAGGCAATGAGAAACCCCAGGAAAAACAAAAGTTACACAAGAAAGTGTTGGTCTAAATTGAAGCAAACTAAAATTGTGGCATGATTTTGAATAATTGATAAAGTATAAGAGAAGGGACTGCATTAGAAATATACTGCTTTGAGGCACAGATATTTCGTGACATAGGATTACATCCAATTACTGTATTCTGTGGTAAGTAACATTTGCCTAATCATAATAATGATATTATATTTTAAAATTTTTATTTTTAATTTTTAGAATTAACCTACAAACAACCTCAAATACTTAATTGTGGTTGCAGAACAAAATATGTATGTTATAAACTTAATACATTCTGGAAGGCAGAAGTGTAGGAGGAAAGGTAGAGGCAAATATGGGGCACTAATTTCACCATCTTTCTTAGTAAGAAGACAAGAAATATTCTCTAAATTTAATGCCATAAAAATTGACGTTTACTCTTTTAATTTAAAGTTACAAAGGTAGCTAATTGAAAAACTAAATATAACTATTAAAATTGGGAGGAAATGTGTGTAGGGGGATATTTGTAGGTAACAAATCCTTCAAATTTGTAGGATAAAAATGTATGACGTAAACCCATATCAGTCATAGCAGAAATTCAATAAAGAATGTATAATATTGACAAGTCAAGGAATAAAGATACATGCATAATTTTTAGAGCATTTAAATTAACCAACTATTCTGGTTAACTAAACAATACAAACTAAAACCAGTATCTTTTTAAGATAGCTGCCTCTGGGAAGCAGAATTAGAAGTGGATAGGGGAAGGTAACAGGAAATTTGCTTCTGTTTTTGAACCCTTGGCTTCTGTTAAGAACTTTTTTTCCGGGCCGGCCTGGTGGCTTAGCGGTTATGTGCGCGGGTTCCACTGCTGGCGGCCCGGGTTCGGATCCCAGGCACGCACCGACGCACCACTTCTCCGGCCATGCTGAGGCCGCGTCCCACATATAGCAACTAGAAGGATGTACAGCTATGACATACAACTATCTACTGGGGCTTTGGGGAAAAAATAAATAAAATGAAAATTAAAAAAAAAAAAAAGAACTTTTTTTCCCCTGCAAGCCTGCATTACTCTACTTTTTAAAACTAATAAAATGGCTGCACGGTTGGCCATTATATGGAGAGGATGATTTAGAACCTTAAAATATTTAACCATTCTCTGTATTGTGGAGCATTTAGGATACATACGCATTTGTGTTGTTTTATATAATGCTTTGTAAAACAGCCTTATATATAAATAAATCTTTGTGCGTATTTCTGGATCAAACCAACCTTGTATATAGGCCTTTGTGCATATTTCTGAATTATTTCCTGAGGAGAGAATCCTAGATATGAAAATACTGAGTTAAAGGATTGAACGTTTCAAAGACTCTTGTCATGGGCACAGACATGTTTTTCCTTCCATCTTCGAGTGTGGACATTTTGGTGAAAGCACTTCAAAGGATGGAAGTCTTATCAAAATGTTGGGCTCTCATGGCCCAGGCCTGTTTTTGAGGTTGTTTTCTGATAAGATGACTGGTTAACGACCACCACACAGCATCTCCATTACGGTACCAAAGGGCTGCCTGAGTTTACACGGCCCACAAAGGAAGCAGGGCGAGGATCTCTCGCGTTTAGTGAGCAAGTGTGAGGGCCAGGTGCTCCTTTAACAACTTCATTCAACTTGATTCGTGCTTCTTGTTTAATCCTCCGTACAACCCTTGGAGGGCTATTTTCTCCGTTTCACAAGGGAAGGAGCAGAGGCAAAGAGAGATGACTTGATTTGTCCAACGCCACACGGCCAGTAAGTGGCCAAGATGGGTGCCACACCCAGGTGGTCTGAGTCCAGATGGACTTCATATGCTGTGCTGTGACAGACCCTTATCCATGAAAAGGAAGGAGGCCCAGGTCAGACTGAGTCAGTGCCCACACGAAGAGTGTAACCCCACGAAGGGAGAAAGAATCCCTCTCTGATTAGCTTGTAGCTTATAGCCGGGTACACAGTAGATGCTCAATAAATATTGGCTGATTAAATAGGTGAGCCAAGCTTTGCCCTAAGCTCCTCTGTATCGTTATTTTATTTAATCTTCATGCTGTGAGGCATTTTATCCCCATCTTACAGATGAGAGAACTGAGGTTCCCAGAGGTCAGGTTGCTTGCCCAGGATACCACAGCTGTTTTGACAGAGCTGGCATTTCAGTCCAGGTCTGTAGGATTCAAAATCCAGAGCTCTTTATTTGCTCAGTGTCTTTAGGAGAATTCAAAGAGTTAGTCCTTGTGGAACCCTCAGCCCAGGGGTTCTCAAAGTCTGGTCCTGGGACACGCAGCACAGAAGCATCCCCCCCACTCCCCAGAACTTGTTAGAAATGCCACTTCTCAGGCCCCATCCCCGGTCTCGTGAACCAGAACCAGAAAGGTGGGGCCCAGTGGTCCGTGTTTCCACAGCCCTCCAGGTGGTTCAGATGCCCGCTCATGTGAGAGCACAGCCTTAGCCTGAGCCATTCTCAGTGCTTGTAAGATGCCGGCTGCTGCTGCTGTTGGCATCACTCTCCAGATCCTGAAGAAATGGTGGAGGGAGGGACGGAATGTGAGTGTCTAGAACTGACTGCTTCTCACGGTTGTTATTTGATGCCAGCGCTCCTGGCCTATCAGTGGGTTCCCATTAGTCCCGGGATGTCGCTGGCTGGAGCCCCGAGGAAGCCTTGGGGGAGAGAGAAGTAGACTGGACACGTTAAGCCCACACGAGCGCTAAGGCCCACCCGTCGGGTCATTCAATGGCCTGGCTGCCGGCCTGCTCCTCCTGTGTGATGCCTCCCCTGCCATGTGCCTCCTCCAGCCTGATCCTGAAGTCCCGAGGGGCTGCGCCTCTAAAGGGACGTGTTCCCAGGGCAGGGGGAGCCGACAGTGCCGAGGGAAGGTGAGGCCACTCTGGGTTCTTCCTCTGGCCTCTGCAAAATTCTGCTCTGACTCAGGACATTTCACGATCCCTAGTGCTGCCTTAGGTTCGTTACGTATTTGATTTGGGGGATTTAACATTCTTGAGTGCCTGTGATTGCCAGGCTTGGGCTTGGATTGTCCTATGTGCAAGCCACCACACTCAGCTCCTTGAAGTGCTTGTCGTGTTTAACTCTTAAAAATGCACTGTGTAGAAGCCACACTGCGAGGAAACAGGCTCAGAGAGGTCCAATGAGGGTCTCAGGGCAACCAGCCAGTATGTGGCAGAGTTGGGTCCATATCCAGGTGGTCTCGCTGACTCCGTGATTGTTCTGCTATAACGCTGAGTGACAACTTGACCTGAAAGATGTAAAGTGTGCCCGTGGACGAATCCCTCTCTCTCACCCACGTAGGTTCTACCAGACCACGGTCTTCACGCAGCAGGGTTCTTTGTGGCCTTCGTCGGATCCCTCGTGCTGACCTGGGTCATGCTTTTCTTCATGGTTCGGTGTGAGTGTCTGAAGGGAAGCGGGCTCACCAGACATCAGGTGAGTCTCCATGCGTCTTCTTCCCGGAGGGCCGTTGGGTTGGTGAGGTTGAAGTTTAACCTCCAGTTCGATGGGTCTCAGCCCTGGAACAATGTCAGAAGCTCCTGGGGAGCTATGGCAGACTGCTCTTGTCAGGCCCACCTGCAGAGACTCTCATGAGATTGTCCCAGATGTGTCCCCGTCACTAGTCATTTTTAAAGCTCCCTGGATGATTCCAGCAAATGGCTAGGATCGAGAACCCCTGCAGTCCAGCTGGATAACTGAGTGCCCACCTGTGTGGCCGGCTTTGTGTTTGTGCCACACCCGGATTCAGGTCCTAGTCGACACTCCCTGCTGAAAATTCTTTGGAGACCCACTTCATCCTCAGAGGGAAGCCCAGACTCCTGTGCGGGGCTTGTAAAGCCCGCGTGGCCTGGCCTCTGCCCGCCTCTGCTGCCTCTTTCCTCTTCACACCTCAACGTCTTGCCTCTGCCCGGGGATCTAGCACTCCCTGAGAGTGCCCAGCTGTCCACACTCACACCCAGTGCTTCTCTCTGCTCTACAAGAGCACAGTTCTGACACTTCTGTAAGATTCATCTCGGGCCTTGTCTCTCCCTGGAAGTTGTCACCGGCCACTTCCTGGCTGGGATAGGAGCCCTCTTTCTGGATTCCCACACTGGCTTCTGTAGACCCCACCCAGTGCTTATCCTAATCTGTTAGTCCCGTCTGTGAACTCCTCAATCTCTGTGTTCTTCTCTTGGTCTGGGTTCCCACAGAAGCACATCCTGAGACCAGGATCCAAATGCAATAGTTTATACGGGAAGTGATCCCAGGACATAAGAGGGGTGGGGAAGTGAGGCAGGAAGGGAAGGCAGCCAATCAAGGTACCACTGGGGGCACCTGGAACTCCCTCTGGCTCGGGAACTCTGAGGATAGTGTAGAACTAGCCTTAGAGTCATCTCACATGGAGGAGGGTATTTATCCACTAAATCACGTTAATCATTGTTTGAGGGCAAGTGGGCAAGGGGGCCGGGACAAAGGGAAAGCAGAGTAGGTGTTGGCTGGTGGATCTTGGGCTCGTGAGACTGAAGTGGCAAGGCAAGGGGACGTGGGCAGAGAATGGATGGTGTCCCCATTGTCCGGAAGGCACTCAGTAAGTGTGTGAAGGAATGAATGAGCCCTTGGCCGATCGATGGCTGGACAGAGAGGAAGGACCGCGGGTCGGCAGTCCATGAGCAAGATGCGCTCTGTGGAGCCATGAGCAGGAGGCATGGCTGGGAGTCAGCGTCCTTGGCAGGTTGCTTGTTCCTGCAGGGCCATGGAGGGCTCGGCTGCTGTGTCTCGGTGTCACCTAGAGGCCCAACAGCTGGGAAGAACATATGTCTTCTTCCTCCCTCACTTTGTATTGAGGAGACTGAGGCCCATGAAGCTAAACAACTTGCTTCAAATGGCCAAGCGAGGCTGGGACCTGGCTTCTGGGGGCCCTGTCTCTGGAGTCTGGAGGTCCTGTCTCATGGTTCATTTCTTGTCTGCTTCCTAGAGGAGAGGATTGTCCTCTCAAAGTGAGGTCAGCCCACAATCTCCTTGGCAGGTAAAGTGAGGAGAAGAAAAATGGCCACTAATCAGACGTTCCACTTACTCTCCCAAAGCTGCTGTCAATCACAGAAGAACAAAACGCCCCCTGCTGCTTTGATGAAGGAGCGGGATTGGTTTTCTGGAGATTAAAGGCTGATCTTTACAACTGCGAGAGGACAGCAGTATGAATTTGATTTAAGATCTGAAGATCCTTGCAGTAATTTTTCCTGCATCACAGAAAGAACTCTTTTCACATTTTTCTTTATTTGTCCATTGTGTTGGAGACAAATGAGACAACGTGCTCTAGGACAGAAGACAGCCCTTGGGTTAGCTCGACTTGGGATCAAACACCCACCTGGCTGTCTATGAGCTGCGTGAACTTGGATAATGTTATTTCACCTCCCTGAGCCGCAGATTCCTTATGTGTAAAGCGGGGGCAACACTTATGTTGTGATGGTTTCATGATGTAACACACACAAGGCACAGGAAAGGAATTCTTCAGTGTTAGCTGTGTAGGAATTCTTAGATGTTAGTGATCACCCATTTCTGCAGAATTAGTGATATTAGGGAACAGATATATCATCTATCCAGTCAGAGTGTTGAGATTAATTATCTCTGTTGTCACTTCTATCTTACAATTCTATATTCTGATTAGAAACCAGCCAGATCCATGATGTTAAGGTCCGTCTGCCAACTATGATTTTCCTCTGTCTGATGATGGTGATGATGGTGATGATGATGGTGGTAATGATGGTGAAATATTTTTATCACATCTTTACAGGTTGTAAAGGCCTTCCCAGCCGTTGCTTCATTTTATCCACACAGCAGCCCTGTGCAGGACTATCAGAATTATGATCCCATTTCTTTGATGAGAAAATGGAGGCTCAGGGAGGTGCAACATCTTGCCTGAGTTTACCCTGCTCACAAGTGGTGGGGCCAGCCAGCTTCTCTGACTGCAGATCCCTGCCTTCCCTCATGACTTTTCCAGCATGTGGCATTCACAAGAAGGCCCACTCAATTGTTGTTTCTGAAATTCTTCTAAAGGTTCAGCATCACGAGAGCGGGCTGGAACACTCCCAGTTCACCTCAGCTGATGGCATGAATGAGGATCTTGCTCTAAATGACCAAATGATAGACATTCTGTCTTCAGAGGACCCCGGGAGCATGCTTCAAGCCTTGGAAGAGTAAGAATTTTGAGTTACGTTATACTGCCACAGATATGATGAATGTTTTAACTGCAGCGGCATGAGAGCAAATGCTGAGTATATTTCATTCATTTATTCATTCATTCAGTTAATCATTTATGTGTCACTCAGTAGTCATAACCAAATAACTGCCTTGCACTGAACACTATGCGTGGTATTTGGGAAAAGAGATGAATAAGACATCGTGCATGCTATGAGGCAGTCTGATCTAGTGGGGAATCAAGCACGTAAACAGAAGTGACCATGAAAGTTTGATGTGTGCCATCCTGCAGGGAAGATCAGGGCTTGCCTAGCCCAGAGAGGAAGTCATTACCTCTCAGAGGGTCATAGAAATGCTTTCTGGAGGAGGTGATATTTTAACTAATTCTTGAAGCATGGGTTCCTCCTCCTCTGCCTGGGTAGTTTTGATTATGTGCCAAACGTTATGGATGAGAAGCTTTCCAAGTGGATTAAGGGAGGAGAGGCTTTTCCGGCAGAGGGAAGAAAGGGCAGACGCGAGGATAGGACATGAGCGAGACACGTTTGGTGATGCGTGAGTAGCTCAAGGTTGGCTGACGCGTGGATAGGTTACTGCATATCAGGAAAGAGGAGATGAGGCAACTGGAGAGAGAGGCCAGACCCGGTGATGTGTTGTTTGCTGAACTGAATTCAGTTCTCTTTATTTATTTAATAAATACATATAATGTACCTCCTATGCGTAATAGAACATAGAGCCAGACGTGGTTCAAAAAACTTTACACGTACTGACTCATAATTCTCTTAACAACCCTAGGAGGCAGGTATTGCTGTTTTTATCATCTCACTGTGAGGGCTTGAGAGAGGTGAGGAGCTGGCCCCAGGGCACACGCTAGGAGATTAGAGGGCCAGGCTTCAAAGCCAGGCAGTCTGGCTCCAGGGTCCATGCTCTTAATCAGGAAGCTGCATTGCCCACAGTTTCTCCTGGCTGGGCACATGGTTCACGGTCCACTAGCTGACCATCACTCAAGAGTGGTCTATCTATCTGAAAGTCTCTATCACAAAACTCCATTATCTTTGCCCCATTTTGTACCTGTTATCTATTGTTCCTCTTCATTTGTGATCATATTTTCTTGTCTCCTCATCTGCCTGGGTAGTTTTGATTATGTGCCAGAGATTGTGTATGAAAATTGAGAAGACAGTTTGAGGACCAGGATGATGTTACCGTCCTCCAGGCAGCCAGAGCTGTAATTATGGATTACTTCAATTCAGTGAGAGATCAGGATCATTCAGAGCGGGCCTTCATTTCCTTCAAGGGCTGATCTGTTTCTGGTGCAGGTTCCCCTGCTATCCAAAAGGAGAACGTTTCTGTGAAACCTTTCGTAAGCCAAAATGGCATAAGATGAAGAAACAATTACCATTAATTTATATGGGAAAAATTTTTCAGTGTTCCCAGACCCAAAAAATGACCAAATCATACCAAATAACACATAGAACCTAAAATAACACTAACGTATAGTAGAACCAGGAAGGATATAATATGAATGATAAAGACACAGCCTGTGTAAAGTAGAAATAGTGTATGTACAGTGGAGTTTCACGCACACTGGAAGGCACACTGGAGGCTGAGAGTTGGGGGTGATGATGGGGTGTTAGGCTGAGTCGTCCGAGGTTGGGGTGGTGGGAGAGAGAGGAGGAGGGTCACCTGTTAACATCTCATCATCGTCTGAGTCCATCGAGGCAGAGAGGTCACTGGCGTCTGCGCCTTCTTCCATGTCTGCCTGCCCCCTTGTCAAAGGTCAAGGGTCGTCATCTGGGTGGCCGCCGTGGCTGCTGTGGAAGGCTTGAAATTCGATGGTGTGCTTGAGGCATAGTCTGTGTAACGGCTGGCTGCAAAACAAACGCTGAACACTATTTTCGCTTTTCACCTTTTTTCATAAAAGCGAAAATCCTCTCTTCAGATTTCTTTCAGTCCCTGACAGCAGGCCCTAACGTAGGTCTTCCGTAAGAATGAAGTGGCGTAAAGTGGACTTTCAGGTAGTGGGGGCAGCCTGTATCCCTTTACTCCTAAGGCATTTGTACCAACAAAAGGCCGAGGGATTTTTTCAGGGTGACCCCTCCTCAGAGTCTCTGCACTTGAGTTTCTGCCTCCCCGGTTCTACAGGTCTGTTGAAAGTCCTGTCAGTGTCTGGGCTCCTCTTCTAGGATCAGGAGATGCCCCTAGGAACAGAGGGGCCCCAACGTGGGACTGCCCTCTCTGAGCTTCCTTGTTCTGCTAGACCTTGACCTCATATTTATTCACTGTCTTGTTAGTGCCCAGATGCTCTCAGATAGATTTTCTTTTTGTCCAGATTTTCTAATTGTTTTCAATGGGACAATTTATCCAAATTACCTAGAGCATCCTCAATGGGAACGGAATCCTGAAGGCATCTCAGTGTAAACCATACTCTAGGCGATGAAGCAGACACAGTCCCCGGCATCAGAGGCCGCCTGTGAGAGAGACAGACGTGGAAACAGACAAGGCTCGAAACAGCATAAAGCAGTAGGGCTGCTGAGCGCGTTGGTCAAGACCGTGGTCCCTGGAGTTAGATTGGGGTTCAAATATGGGCTGTGTCACCATGTCGCCTTGGTTAAGTGACTTAAATGAAGGCTCGGATGGAGAGGAGGGGCTGGGTCATGGAGGGTTCTGGATGTCAGGCTCCATAGTAGACACTGGAGACCCAGGGGATGGTTTTTAATATGGGCAGATTTGTGTTTTAAAAGGCCACTCTGGATGCAAATGGAGAACAACTTAGAGGGGAGAGCCCGAGAGACTGTTGTAGGAGGTGTTGGTGTGAGACCGAGGGCAGGACCAGCAGACTAGGGAGCAGAGGGTTACGAAGGAAGAGCCTACAGGGCTTGGTAACTGATCATATGTGACTGTGTATGTACGTGCAGGGGGGGTGTGGTCTGGACATTGAAGGGGAGGGAGAAATCTAGGATGACTCCCCAGGGTTCAGGTTTTTTTGTTTGTTTGCTAGTTTCGTTTTTTGAGTAGGAGAAGAGGGAGCATCCAACAGTTCCAGCTGCTCAGTAGATCCAGAGGCTGCAGAAATGTCCAGAGGGAGGAGGAACGAGAGGGCTCCACCTTCGTGAGAGCAGTTTGATGCTGAATCTGGAGTGAACATCTTTGGGAGATCCATTTGTGCCAAATACACCATCTGAACAGATTGGATTCTTATTTGGTTCTATCAAATTTTTATTTTTACTTTCTTTGCTTTCTTATGTCCTGATGGTTATTAATAATGAGGCCATGTGAGAATCCCTCAAACTATATTCCATTTACAGAAAACTCTTTCTGATTCTAGATTCAAGATGCATAGCTTCATTTGCTCACTTCCCACTGGGGAGTAATTTCTATGGATTTAGAGTCATCATGGTGCTGATAAGCTGTAATGTCTTATATTTTTACGTAATACCTCACATCTGTGTAGTGTTTAGATGTGTGCACTCTCTTTCACACGCCTTTTTTAATTCAGTCCCCACGCTAATGCTTTTTGGCGGGCATCTTATTTTCAGGGTTTGATTGTTGAAGAATCTGTTGCTCAGCTGGGTAAAGAGGTTTATGCATAGTCACACATCTACTAAGTGACAGAACAGGACTTCAGCTTTCTCGGTTTTTAATTTAATCTCAGACACAATATATTTTACAAATATTCTCTGAGCCTCAGTTTCCTCATCTCTTAGCTGGGGAAACCATAAGCCACCACCTTGTGATACTGTAAAGTTTAATGATATGAAAGAGACGTGATGCTAAAGAGTCCTTACTGCAGTGTTGCTTCTGATCTTGGGTCTGATTTAAAGGGAGATGAGCAGATCCTAAAGAGAAGAGTTCAAGATGATCAGCACTTCCTTGAGTCTTTCTCAAGAACATTGCAGATGGCAGCTGAAGATGGGAGAGCTTGGAGACAAAATTGAGCAGCTGTGTGATCCTGTCTCCTGGAACCTGGAAATGATGTCAGGCGGCATATAGAGATGGACCCGAGACAGCACCAGAACCGGAGAGCGTGCCTCTTCTGCCTTAGAGTGACTGCTTGTTGGCCTGGGAGAAGAGCTTTAGTGCGTCTGCTCGTTGCTCTTTGTGAGCTGAGTGGGTGTTCTATGCAGAGAGGGGCTTTCATCCTGCTGAAAAGGGTGCCCCCTCTCAGCCGAGCGCTTTCCTGCAGCGCTAGGCCTTCAGCTTTGCAGGCACAGAGCTGACCCTGCACCGCTGGGGGTCGGGCCTTGTTAATGCATTTCGGGATGCCAGAGTTGTGTGGCTGGGCTAACTGGGCTGTGTGCAGCCATTCGGATGTGATCCTTCATTTTAGCTCAGTTCCCTAATCAGAATGCCAAGGATGACTAATTAAAATTTGCCACACCGTCCAAGAGGGAGGAGTGGACGGGCAGTGGGGAGGAAGGGGGTGGTTCCTGGCAGAGATTCATAAATGTCTCTTTTTATGTTAAGTGGTCTGAGCAGGTGATTATCACAGTGTTTCCTAGCTAAAAGTCCATTTTCTTCCAAAATATGAAAATGAAAAGTAGAGTGCAATGATTTGGTTTGTGTGATCAGCACCTAGGTATTTCATTTGTAGGTAAACAGTACCCTATAACCTTCTGACCAGAGTGATTAGGACTTTAAAATAGGAAAGTATTACTCATCCTGTCTTTGTTTTTGATTTTTGAAAAAGTGGCAGAGTATAAGAGACCCAGTCTTCCTTTATCCTTATGTTATATGAAATTGTTAATAGCTGTTGCAGTTTGCTGGTCCTGGTGCTTAAATGCAATAGGGATGTTGAGGTTTACAAGATTTTATTCTTGTAAATCACTTGGTAGCTCTGGATTTTTATATTTATTTCTCCTTGGGAGCTGATCTTATTTTGCCTGGAGTGTTTAACATTGATTATCAAGCATGACCTGAGAAGTTCGGCTTGAGAACTAAATTTATTCCTGCCTTCCCCTGTCCCAGCTTTCTGCCCCCCCTCCACATCCCAACATTCAATATT